CTTCCACCCACCATTGAGCTGATGGATGTGCTCAGCGGCAGTGCAATGTTAATTTGTCAACAAAAGATTTGTGCTTTTTTTCAGATTGAGAGGCGCAGTCGTTAAACAATTTGCAGAACGGTTTTTACTATCCTACCATTTTTTAGAAGAACTTCGGGAATGTCCGCAGCACTCGTGCAAGTAATTTTCCGTCTGCTGCTTCAGCGTAATGTATCGGGCTAATAACGAGAAATATCAAAAGCATCAATATCCACGGACCTACAATTTTGTCTGATGAAAACAGTCCCCACGAAGTTTGGTGATTTCCTGTTTTGTCGCTGCCTTCATCAAATGAAAATGCTAAGTAGCGTCGCACCTAATGGCCACGCGCCCTGGACCCATGCACGAAAAATTAATCCGTTACGGAATTCTTTACGTCATGACTTCTCCTCATTAGTTACTGAAATGAACGAAGCGAATCGTTCGCTGTGTATGAAGTGGCGCATGTTTGACCGACCATGCCCAAGGCTTGTGCTTCCAAAAGCGTATGCCACTTGCACCTAGACTCGGAGGTTACGGCCAAGCAAACTGTTTCCTAACACCTGCGTGTAGCACCAACGTTCAAAATGTCACGAAACTTCTCGAAGAAGTCCATACGCTAATGCCTGGCAAAACGGATGTGGCCAGGTTGACTATCTTTGTCAGTCCTAAGGATGGTGATATCAAACCCATAACCAGTTAAGAACAGACATATTGTCGTCCATACCAACTGCCTAAATGAAGCGACATCTCGACTTTTAGCTTCATGCATTTTATCCACCATCCACCATCCGCCTTTCAACTTGATTCCACATTGCTTATTTCCACTGTATACAACTTCCAAGGAGGGATTACAAAAATATTCTAACGGGGCGTTCTAACTGTGCTGCAAACTTGTTTAGAATTCACGTTCCATTGACCCTTCGTAAAAATCACCTTGGTTTTTGACTAATCCCATTATCCCACGTATCAATAATCCCGTTTATTCTTTTAAATTTTCTTCTAAATTACATATGTGAACTTTGATCAGGATAGCGAACCTAGCCTCCTGCTGAAAACGGTGGTAAAGGGAAAGATACAAAGAAGAATAAAGGTGAAGAAACTAGATTTGTCTTCTAATGTATCTGCCCATGTATTG